TGCAGCTTAAGATCCCCTACCAGATTGTTTCCATTGTATCTGGAGCTTTGAATGATGCGGCTGCCAAGAAATATGATCTTGAAGGTTGGTTTCCTGCATCAAAAGTGTACAGAGAGCTTGTATCTTGTTCAAATTGCACTGATTATCAGGCCAGGAGATTAGGAATTGGATACGGACAGAAGAAGGTAAGTTCCTTTTATATTGAAGCTGTTATTTAAGCCAAATATATTGGAATTTGACATCTAATATATATTTGGTGAATGATAAACGAGATTTGAGTTGAGATATTACTTGCAATTGACAGTAGACTTGAAGATGTTTATAGAACAAATGGGAGAAGTACACATATACCATTCGATTGTCAGAGCTAGTTTTGTAAATTTCCCAATGCTTTGGCTGTAATAAGTGTTAATTATTTGGTTTGGGCAGTTCATTTGTTTCGGTTGGGTGTTAGATTTATGAATTTGCATTGCTTTGATTGCTTGTATGTGATTTTTCTTTTATTATTGGCTATATTGAAGAAATCCTAAAATAAAAATGGCACTTTTCTGCTCTTAAGATTTTGAATTTATGAACTAACCCTGATTAGACATGAGGAGGCGGTCTTGCCATCTCCCATCTTTTCACATTCATACCAGACATTTCTTACCTATTTGCATATCTAACACCTAAACATTTATATTCACGTAGATACCACTCATATCTTCAACCTCACATCAAAATTACAATCATCGCTATCTTTTTATGCATAAGTTCATGACATCAAGCTGTACCAAGTGTAAATATCAAAATTTGGGTGTTAGACTTATAAATACATAAGATTTGTGTGGTATATATATCTGAATTTTCCCTGTTTTTTTGTATTATAGTCATTATTAATATCTCTTTTGCATAAATATTTGATCTTTTTGCTTCCTGGCCTTTGTATCTTAATGTCTACTTGTGCAGAATGATGAACAGTCCAAGCAATTTGTCCACATGCTGAACTCAACACTTACAGCAACAGGAAGAACCATCTGTTGTATACTTGAAAACCATCAAACAGAGGACGGCGTGGCCGTCCCTGAAGCCCTGCGGCCTTACATGTGCGGCATTGAATTTCTGCCTTTCAAGAACTGAAGCAAGCAAGGTTAGAGAACCAATTTCCCTTCTACTCTTGCTGATTTAAAGAAATACCAACTGTTGTCTTAGATTTTAAGTTTTTACAATTTTGAAATTTTCTTTTGCAATTATTTAAGGATTTTTTACATGAAAAGAATGTTTGCTTTCATGACTGTAATTTTTATATTTATGAGTTGGATTGAACAAATCATTGATTGTCATGCAACTAATACTATGTGAATCCTTAGTTATGGAGATTTATTTAATGACTTTGTTATTGATGGTTTGGTAGAGTTTTTAGTGTAATTTGCAGTATTTTAAAAACTGAGATTTATAAATTATGAGGTTGATTTGTAGCACATGGAGATCAGTTTTTAAAATTTTTGATTTATAGGTTATTTATTTATATTTTTTAACAAAAAAATTGAGTGAAAACATTTTGATAAAAAATAGAATATGTTGAAATTTAAAATTATTATATGTAGCTTAAATTTAATAAAATATATAGATAACCAATTAATTTTTATTTTGCATTAATCATAAATCTAGTAATTTTTTTATTATTTTATATTTTGGCGCATTGCTTGTAATTTTGATGTTGTCTCACCAAAGATGGTAATTTTATGACGAATTTATATCAATGGAGGCACATAAGTGATGGAGACATGGCAGAAGAGCATGTGTTTTGAGATGTGGGATTTACATATATACCCTATAATTCTTTTATATTTGTAAGTTTAACATCTAAGTTACGTAAAAATTGATTTTTAAACATCACATTGAAATTCTCTCTATTATTAATCATTTTCAATTGAAATATAAATTTGTCCGGATTTATTAAAATTTTCTTCCAGCCATTACATTTTAATAAATTTAGTTCTAAAAATTATATATATATATATGTTAAAAAGATACTTGACTAGCAAAATCTCCAACAACCATGGCTTGCAGTCTGTCAAGTTTGGGTTGGACTCATGTGTCTAACAACTTGAGTATTATTTTGATATAACATCAGTCATTTGGGGGAATTCGAACCCCAGACCAGGAACTGACGAATTAGATGTATATGACTTTGTTATTGATGGTTTGGTAGAGTTTTTAGTTTAATTTGCTGTTTTTTAAAACTAAAGGTTCGTTTGGGGCAGCTTATAAGTGCGAGCGGCGTTTTGAAAACGCCGACGTACCGTTTGGCTCTAAACTGCAGGGGTAACCCCCACGTTCGCGTTCGCTCCTTTATTTTACGCTCCTGCCCTCGTTTGCTCAAGGAACCACCCCGCTCTTCTTCTCGTTTGACTCTCCCTCTCATCGTTGAAGCTGCTCGAAGTCGAACACTTCACATCGTTGAAGTTGCTCGAATTCGAACACTTCACTAGCGACCCCATGCTCCTCCGCTCCAGCCGGTGCCACCTCACTATCGTTGCTTCTTCGGCGAAGCAGTCCCCTCATCGTACCTCATGTCAGCCTGCTCCTCTGACATCGCAAGGGTTCGGTCACTAAGGAACTACGGCTTCTTCGTACATATCAACATCGGTCTCCGCTCTGCAAACCATAGATAACCAATTAATTTTTATTTTGCATTAATCATAAATCTAGTAATTTTTTTATTATTTTATATTTTGGCGCATTGCTTGTAATTTTGATGTTGTGGAGACATGGCAGAAGAGCAAGTGAGTTTTGAGATGTGGGATTTACATATATACCCTATAATTCTTTTATATTTGTAAGTTTAACATCTAAGTTACGTAAAAATTGATTTTTAAACATCACATTGAAATTCTCTCTATTACTAATCATTTTCAATTGAAGTATAAATTTGTCCATGTATGCTTTTGACATGAACTTGACATGAAAATGTGAATGCATGGGGGGTCTATGGCCGGATTTATTAAAATTTTCTTCCAGTGATTACATTTTAATAAATTTAGTTCTAAAAATTAATTCTTCATGTAAAAAGTTATATATATATATTAATGTTAATAAGATAGTTGGCTAGCGAGATCTCCAACCACTCCTGGCTTGCAGCGTGTCAGATTTGGGTTGGACCCATTTGCCTAACCATTCGAGTACTATTTTGATATGACATCAGTCGTTTGGGGGGAATTCGATAGAGGGGATTTACAACTGATGAATTAGAGAAGACGAATTAGATATATATATATATATATATATATATATATATATATATATAATCAATTTAATATCATTTAATTATGCAGTCAAATCGCCTAATTTATATTATTCTATCCTCAGAATAATAATAAAAAATTAATATTGCTATTAGTTTGTTTGTTTATTATTAATTTTCATATAATAATCGGAGCCTAAATTACGCAAAAGCCCCCCGAAAGATATTTCCATCTCTCTCTTCCACCACGTGTCCAATCCGGAGGAGAGAAACTGCCAGATAAATTCACAGAGAAACTCGTCGCTATACTGTTGTTTCGCAGTTTGCATTCGAAGCAGAAGAGATGGAAAAGGGAACTGGGCTAGGGTTGCAGAGGAAATCGATGAAGCGGAAGAAGACCAAGGGATTTGCTAGGGCACTAGTCGACTACCTTGCGTCCGACTCATACATGTACGCTCCCCTAATAGACTCGCAACCGTCGAAACCGCCGGAGCATTCAGTCTCGGCGTTGGAAGAAGTTGCAGGGGACGCTTTTGTTGGCACCCCTGTAGCTCCAGGTGATTTCTCCCTCGATTTCTTTGGGTTTCCCTTTTTGCCTGCATTTCGCGCAAAATTTTTACTTTTCGGTTACTGTAAGGCGGGAAACTTTGTTATGTTGGAGTTAAATTGATGTTTTTGTTTTTTTTTTCTGATTGATTTCTTCCTGCTTAAGTTTGTTTGCTTTGATGCGAAGTTGCTGATTATGTGATTAGAAAAAGCGTTGGGAAGTTTTGTTGTGAATCGCTGTGCGTTGTGTAGAATATTGAAAAGTTGTTCGGATTGGTTTAATTGGAACAGAAAGATTCAGCAAGTCTGGTGGTAATAATGATGATTCTTTTGAAACTGATGTGTCGTCTGAAAAATAAGTCCAAGAACTCGCTTTGAATTTTTTTTAAAACTATTACTGAGAATCTATTAATTCCTATATGATATATTTGCAGTATAATCTAACTCATAAGCTATTTTTACCTATTTAGGGCTTGTTTGGGTTCAATTTTTTTTTTCTTTTGTTTGTAAATCATGTTTGTTGTGTATTTTTTAACATGTTTATGTTTTTGAAAACAATCAAAATAAATTTTAAGGGGGCTCGCGCTTGGGGTCATTTTATGCTTTTTTTTTAGAAACAAAAAATAAAAACATGTTAAAAAACACACTAAACAAACAATTTTAATAAATTAAGATCATATTGCGTCCTATTGAGTGCCATATTTTCATTTAATTCTAATAAATTAAGATAATTTTGTATGCAATATGCCCAAGTCTTTCTAGGTCTATCTCTACCTTTCTTAACATAAGTTGAATCTAAAATATCTACTCTCTTAATTGGATCGGATGTTCAATATTTAACGTGACCAAACCAAATAATAAGTCTCTCTCTAATTTTGTCCTCCACAAGAGCTACATCAACCCTATCAGGGATATATTCATTTTGTATTTTCTCTTAAGTGTAAAGCCAGTAATCCGCCTTAGCATTCTCATCTCGGCAATACTTAACTTAGTTTTATGCTTCTCTTTTAAACACTAACATTCTTCTCCATAGAGCATTGCAGGTCCCATCACCGTTTTATAAAATTTTCCTTTCAGCCTAAGCGGTACTTTTCTATCATCATAGTGGTTTGTACACTTTTGAAATTTGAAGAAGTATTCATTGAAATTTGAAGGGAAGAAAACAAATGAAGAATAATGGTTGGAGGAACCAAGAACACTAAGCCTACACTTGCCATCAAAAGTCTAGAGCAAAAACCAAAGCATGGCCCAAAGCGCCAAAAAACTATTAATCTTTAGTGTGATGTTTGTAAAAAGATGAATGTCATAAAAAAATTATCAAAACTTCACGACAAACGGACAAATTGGATCGATCTTGAAAATCAACACCAATACATTTACACTTATCAACCTAAAATAATGGACTAAAGATGAAAGAAAATGAAAATCTTGGTGGCATTTTTGTGAACAAAAAATGATTGGGTCTTTTATGCAAATCATTTACTTATGGAAAAAACTATTACTTCTTCTTTTTTAGCTTAGAAAATTGTTTTTCTCTTGCTTTTTTCCTTATTGACGCCTTAGCTCTGGAGTATTAACCCGTATTGTGGCCTTAGCTCTAACGCATTAACTCAAAGCTTAACATCCCATGACAAATCATGCTAATCTATTCTCGTTTTATCATTTCTTACCTGCACCTGCCCCAAAATCAATATTACTAATGGATTTTTAGCCTTCATTGCTAGGTTAAGGACTATTAGAATTAACTCTGAACTTTATCTAAGTTCTATTGTATATTTATCAAACCTCTATTACAATCTCTTGTCCATGAGTGAGATAACAAAATATTGAACTATAAAACCACATTGTTTTAAATTTTTTATGAATTTCAGGCCCAAAGATTGATGAAGATGATTGGCAGTGTGAGTGAGTTTAGAGTTTTGCAAGTATTTTGATAAGGATTCCAAAGAAAATTATTATGCCATTTTTATTAGCAAAGAACTTTCATCTCTTGGGGGAAAAAAGGGGATTAGATTATGTTATCGCATTATAAGTTAGTCTATCCTAGATTTTGCTTCTTAGAAACTTATTTTATTTTCTGTTTGGTGATAAAGATATTTTTTCAATTTGAAAATTACAAGCTTGCCAAATGCCAAGGAGTTAGCTTTAAGCATAAACCATATACAATCACCAAACCTTTTTCTTTTGTGCACAATCATATTTAGGGCACATCAAGATCTCAAAATATTTACTCTAAATGATCCTTCAATGCTTTTCTTGATGATCATGCTCATGTCTATACTTATTGGAAAAAAAAGGTGATACATAATATATACATTTTTTTT